ACCACCCCCAATCTGTCACCAATTACTGCTACTTCCTTAGAAACTGAAGAGACTGGCATACCATGGTAGGGGTGACTCTCAGGATATTAGGCATATAAAGTCATTACGATATATTGTAGGGATTAGCAGACTAGGACCTGTGGATCAAATCCGGCCTGCCACCTGTTTTTATAGGAGCCATGCTTATTGGTGTGTGTGTTGTCTATGGCTGCTTTCCTACTGTAAGTAGCAGAATTCAATAGTTGGGACGGAAACAGATTTTACCTATTCTCTGGACCTTTAAAAAAGAAAAAGTATGGGGGTGCCTGGGTGGCTCAGTCAGCTAAGCATCTGACTTTGGCTCAGGTCATGATCTCATGGTTTGTGGGTTTGAGCGCCGCATCAGGCTCTGTGCTGACAGCTCACAGCCTGGGGCCTCCTTCAGATTCTGTGTCTCCCTCTCTCTTTGCCCCTCCCCTGCTCATGCTCTGTCTCTCTTTGTCTCTCAATAATAATAAACATTAAAAAAAAAAAAAAAAAAAAAAAAAAGTGCCAGCCCCTGATCTAGGGCATCACTAAGCCAAGAACCTTATCTTTTGGGGACAGTATGAGCCAGTGTATAATCATAAATTTAATTGTCCTGCAGTGGGTTCTTTTTGAGAGTGAAGGTTGCTGACAAGGGAGAGTACCATACTATGTGCCAAGTTCCTGCCTTTCTCCTGCTGCAAAGAGAAAGTTCTTTGTTTGGAGTATTAGAGAAGAAGCCAGCTTAATTCAAGGAACATAGTTAATAATACCAGAATTGAACATTAAGAGTCCTCAGTTTACTGAGTGCAGAGGTTGAGTTATGAGAATAGACCCCTCAGACCCAGCTTAATTTCTTTTTTAGGTAGGCACCACTCCCAGCATGGAGCCCAGTGAGGCGTTTGAACTCATGACCCTGAGATCAAGACCTGAGCTGAGATCAAGAGTCGGACACTTAACCGACTGAACCACCAGCACCCTCCAGCTCAATTTTTTTGGTTTTAGGGCAAAGAGAAGTTGCCTTCGGATCCTCGACCTGGCTTTGTCTTTGCTCCAGTGAGTATTACTTCTGCCTTTCCCAGCATGCAAAGATCTGAACTCAGCTGTGGCCAGGGAAAGTGAGAGGGTAGAGCTAAGCCACCCTCTACTATTTTGTGTCCCTATCCAGTTTCTTTCTTAGTTGTTCCCCTGGCCCTCCCTACCTCCTGCTCCCATGCTCCCATGTCCCTAGCCCTTCTTGACTCTTATCAGGTTGAGTTTTACAGTTGTATGATCTCTGTGGTTCATTTGTCTTACCTCATGTCTTTTGTGTGTGTTCACAGTGTCCACATGAACTTCCTTGTCCCCAGTTGACAGTCTCTAAGCCCCTGGCCTGTAGCTTTTCTCAGGCTTATCACTCCATCCCCTTCAGCTGGGTATGTATCCTGAGAATGTTGTAGCAGGGAGAAACTAGCCTGAGGAAGCAGGATGAAAAAGAGTCAGAGGTGGGAAGAGTTGGAGAAGTTAGAAACAAGCCTGGATATTTTCAGGCCTGAATGTGCATGACTTATGAAAAGGCTGCAAGGATGGGGTGGGGGGGTGGGGGGCACGGTTTTTTCCTGTCTCTTTTTCCTCGAAATAGTCTCTATGTCCTTATCTTAGAATAAGAAGAATCTAAAAGAGGAAAAGTTCTCCATGGTAATTCTGGCCCGGGGGTCTCCAGCAGAGGCTAATCGCTGGCCCCGTATCACTCAGCCTGTCCTTAAACGGCCACGCCATGTGCATTGTCACCTGTGCTGTCCAGATGGGCATATGCAGCATGCTGTGATCACGGCCCGCCGGCATGGCAGGTATAAAGGGTGTGACCAAAATTAGGGAGAGGAGGCAAGACCCTGCAGCCCGCACTGACTTCTCTTTTCCATAGGGATTTGTATCGCTGTGCTCGTGTCAGCTCCTGGGGAGACCTTTTACCTGTGATCACACCTTCAGAGTCAGAGCTTCCTCCGTCCCCTGCTAAAGATCCCCCTGGGAGCTGATGAGGATGTGTAACAAGTATTTGCTTACACAGACCTACCAAGGGTGAAGCTACCTGGTATCCAGGAGGGGAGTGCTGGCGGCCCTATATATCTGTTTGTTTGAGGTTTTAATAATAATAAAAAGTTTTCAAAGAGTAGAAATGGGTCTTGTGATTCTTAAAAGGGACAGAGGTCAGTTGTCACAGCCTATCCTGTGACGGAGAGAATCCTCAGATGTTCAGCGCCTGTCTTCCCACACAGATCTGAAGTTCACCTTCTCCTGTAAGAGTACTGCTCCTCGTACCAGAGACCAGGAAGTCACCCAAGGGAGTGGGGAAAACTGCACTCAGCAGATGTCATGGTTGTTAGGTGGCCACCTGAACAGGGGGGCCAGCAGCTGCCTCGCCTCTGTTTTTCTCCTTCCTTTTATTGTGTCTCTCTCAGGGTCCATCAGTTCCCCCAGAGTTTGCTAGATACATTTTCCTCAAGTGTTAATCCTCAATCCTCATCAAGACTGAATTTTCCATTCCCCCCTCCCCCTCCCCCTCCCCTACCCCACCCCAGTGGATCTAGGCAGGACACTTCAGTTTGCTTGGTTCATTTCTCAGCCTTCCCTGAGGCCTTGCTGTTTCATAGCTAGAGCAACTTTCCTTGTCTTAATATTCTCACCCCCTGCCTCCCCAATACACAACGATTCCTGACTTACCATGGCTTGATTTTCAAGTTTTCAACTTGAAGATGATGTGAAAGTGATGCACATTCCGTAGAAGCTATACTTTGAATTTTGGATTTGGATCTTCTCTCAGGTTGATGGTTATGTGGTACAGTTATCTCTCGTGATGCTGGGCAGCCACAGCTCCCAGGCAGTCATGCGATCCCGAGGGTAAACAGTACACTTAAAACCATTCTGGTTTTCACTTTCAGTATAGTATTTGGTAAATTGTAAGGAATTTCAACACTTTATTATAAAATACACTTTGGTTAGATGATTTTGCCCAACTGTTGGCTAATAGAAATGTTCTGAGCACATTTAGGTAGGCTACTCTATGATTGGTAACTGAGGTGTACTAAATCACTTTCGACTTAGGAGGTTTTCACTTTAGGATGGGTCCATCAGTACATATCGCCATCATAAATCAAGGAAGATCTGCATATATCCAAAAACAGGCATAGTCAAAAGGTAGAACAGCATCAATGTAGTACACCAAAAATCTCAACTTCCACACTAGACATTATCATGCCTAGAGCTACTTTTCTGGGTTACAGTGTTGGAGTCCAGCTCCAGCCAGGTCCAGGGGTCCCTGAAGGATGGACGGTGTCAGCGACAGAGGGAGTGAGAGAGCCCCGAGATTCTTTCTGATCACCAGGCAGGCATCTCTGTCCTGTAAGTTTTGGTGTCTTTATAGGTCAAACAACATGGCATCAGAGAATGGAATTTTTACAATGGATAGTTCTCTGTGATAAGATGTTTTGGAAAATGTACAGAAACAGGTTTTACAGAAGAATTCTTGCAGAACTACCCCAATTATAGTGAGGCTGAGTAACTAAGAAAATAACAGGGTGTTCTTAGTGAAAAACAGAATAACATACACATTTTAATAACACTAAGATTAAGTCAGGTTAAGTTGTAGATACTCATCCATCCTCATCATAGCTGCCAGTGTAAGGGAAGATGTTTGTGGAATGTAGGCCTTAGGAAGGGACTGCTATACATCACCAGTTAGCAAAGGTATATGTAGTAACTTATGTTCTGCTCTTATCTGTTCCTTCTAAGTTAGGCTCTTTGTCTCTGGGCAAGACTTAATTGTCCAGTTATATTCTTTATGGCACCGGAGAGCCAACCATACCTTTAAAGAGTTTAGCTCATTTCCAATACATAGAATAGCCACTTGGAGTACATTTACCTTTGTGTCTAGTTTTATGATTTCTTGAATAGCTAGGGCATGAGAGACATTTTTTGTTAGTTGTTTTACATGTTGATCTGTATGAACTTTTTGGACTAATTCAATTTTTTAATCAGTATTGTACATTTAAATGTTAATCTTTTATGAGTAAGGGTCATTAGCCTGTATATAGTTCAAGGGAAGTATCAAGGGGAACAGGACCTGCCAGAGACACGATGTCTGTTCCCATAATCAAAAGAAGTTCCCCACAAGAAGTTCTTTCCCAAGGTGCAATCATCATATCAGGGCCAGAATAAGGGGACAAGTCACTCCTGATACCAATCAACAAGGTACCTTGGGGGTCGGTGCTCAGGCAGAAATAATTGAGTGGGGGTGGATATCAGTCATCATCTGATGGCAAGAGACGGTACAACTTGCTTTAACCTCACCAGGAGCTTTCTCAACTAGTGGGCTCAGAATGGGTCCCAACATTACAGGACGGAGGAATCCCCTCATCTACTAGTTTCCACAGAGTGGCAGGCTCAGCCCCACCTCCTTACCTGAAAGTGGCCCCAAATCCCCTCTGAAAGGATAGGGTTCAGATATCAGCATAACAACTCATGAGACATGGAGTGGGGTAGGGTTGGGAGGGTATGGAAATCTTAGATGAAATGTCTTGAATGAGGCAGGACCAGGTGCCCCCAGTACAAAACAGCTGGGAAGGCCCTCCCCAAACTCCCATTTTGGATTAGACCAGCCCCAGGCATGAATTAAGACTATCCATGGCATTTGGATTAGTCATGGCAGCAAAGAGAAGAAGACCTACAGCACGGGCTGTGCCTGGCAGGGAGTCTGGAGTTTCTGGTTTCCAAGTTCTGGAAGGCGTGAGCCAGGGGAGGGGCCTCCTTGTAGGGGGAGGGCGGGAATCTGGGGCAGGGCCCCAGTCAGCTATGTAAGGCTGTGCAAGCAGAGGCAACACTGAATGGGAGGAGGATCCCAACAGCCTCCTGAAGCTCAGTAGAGGAGCTACTCCAGCTTTGACCACATAAGACAGCACTCCTCCAAAGATTATAACTCCCATTTGCCATCCTGAGGCCTCTGCTTATCCTGTACCTGAAGGATGGAGCAACTACTGGGAGTAAAAATTGGCTGCCTCTTCGCCCTGCTGGTTCTCACTCTGGTCTGTGGCCTTACTCCCATCTGCTTCAAATGGTTCCAGATTGATGCAGCCACAGGTATGGCCCTGCAGCATGTGTCCCCATGACCTAATCCTGACAACAACCCCATCCCCCTGTCCTGATGCCTTGCTCTGATTCTCTCACCATCCCCAAGCTTGGGGTATCGGGTGCCACCTGTGACTCTCTTGTCACCTTTTCTATCTCATTGCCAACTGGATTGTAACTTCTCCTTTTTTTAGGTCGTCACCGCCGGGTCCTCAGCTTCCTGGGCTGCACTTCTGCAGGTGTTTTCCTGGGAGCGGGGTTCATGCACATGACTGCTGATGCCCTGGAGGGAATTGAATCAGAGATCCAGAAGTTTATGATGCAGGTGAGCAGCAGAAATGGTGAGCTGCAGGGCCGGGAGTCCAGAACAATGAGCAGAACCAAGGGAGGACAGGGGAAAGGGGACAGAGCCGAGGACCAGGGGGGAGGCACATGGAAGAAGACAGCTGTCGTGTGGCGTGGTGGAAACAGGTTGGACTTTAAGGAAAGCGGTGGAGCTGAAGGGGCAGGACAAGAAGCTGAGCTCCATCCCCCATCTGATTGCTGCCTTTTTTTCCTCCCTAGAACAGGACAGAAATGGAGGGAAGTGATTCAGCACAGGTAAGTTATCTCCCACCAGTCCCGCCCGGAGAGGGAGGGGAGCCAAGACTCCTTTTGCAGCCAGACTCTTTTGAGGGCAGTGTGTGAGGAGAACCCTCTGCTCCTTAGCTCAGACATCACAGACGAAAGAGGAACCCACCCAATCCTTTTGGGTTTGTAGGACCCCTGAAAACACTCTGCTTCATTCTTTCATTCTTTCTCTGGACCCTTTCACATGCCTCACATTCTTTTCCCATTTTTCTAACCCTATCACTTTTGTGTCCCCTAGTCCCTCAGGGGTGATTGTTATCACTGCCCATACCTGCTCTTGGCTTCATTCCCCTGCCCTTCTTTATGCCCAATAGGCCGCATCAATCTGGAAGCATTCGAAGCAGATGGGAATAAAGCCACAGGCCCGAGTGAGAGCCAGCGGGCAAACAGGTAGCCAGATTTTACTAACTGAGCACAGCCCCGCATTTCCCATTCTCTTTGGTCTCCCGCTCCCTTGGCCACCCCGCATACTTTCTTGTCTTCCTTTCCCCCTCACTCACAGCCCCTCTTTCTGTTCCTAGATGGAATACCCCTATGGAGAGCTCATCATCTCCCTGGGCTTCTTCTTCGTCTTCCTTTTGGAGTCACTGGCATTGCAGTGCTATCCTGGGACTGCTGAAGGAGTCACAGTGCAGGAGGAGTGGGGCGAGGCTCCTGTCCTTGGACTCCACAGCCATGGGCCTCTCCCCTCCCTCTCAAAGGGCCCCCTGCGAGCCCTGGTCCTCTTGCTCTCCCTCTCCTTCCACTCAGTGTTTGAAGGTCTGGCTGTAGGGCTGCAGCCAACAGTAGCAGCTACTGTGCAGCTCTGTCTTGCTGTCCTGGCTCACAAGGGGCTCATAGTGTTTGGTGTAGGACTGCGGCTCGTGCAGATAGGCACTGGATCGCGATGGGCCACACTGTCCATCCTGTCATTGGCTCTCATGTCCCCCCTGGGCCTGGTCCTGGGGCTGGCTATGACTCAGGGGGACTCTAAAGGGGGACGAGGCTTAGCCCAGGCTGTGTTAGAAGGTGTGGCAGCTGGCACCTTTCTGTATGTTACCTTCTTAGAAATCCTACCCCGGGACCTAGTCGGCCCTGAGGCCCCTCTGGCCAAGTGGGGCTGTGTAGCCGCTGGTTTTGCCTTCATGGCCCTTATTGCCTTATGGGCCTGAGAGATTCCTGACTCTTCTGATGGACCTATCTACAATGGCCTTCCTACCCCTGGGAGACACTTCCCAGATGGCTTTGGCCCTCAGATATTTCTCCACGGAGACAGTGACATTCACTAGGCATTGTCCACATGACAATTGTCCACATGACCCCAGCTTTTTCCTACATGAGAACCCATTTCTCTGAGAAAAAGATGTTTAAGTTAGTGCTTAAAAATTGGAGAATTGATATAAAGACTATCACTCTAGATTTGACTCTTGTCCCATTTTTGCTACTGTGAATAATACAGTTTTTTAAATGTTTTATTTATTTTTGAGAGAGAGATAGAGACAGCATGAGCAGCGGAGGGTCAGAGGAGACAGAGACACAGTATCCGAAGACAGGCTCCAAGCTCTGAGCTAGCTGTCAGCACAGAGCCCAACTCAGGGATTGAGCCCACAAACCATGAGATCATGACCTGAGCCAAAGTCGGATGCTTAACTGACTGAGCCACCCAGGTGCCCCTATTACTGTGAATAATAAAATGTCCATTTTACCTTTCCCCTTCGGCCATGCTATACTTCATTTCTTTTTTTTTTCTTTTCTTTTTTAATAGTTTATTTTCAAGTTGGTTTCCATATAACACACAGTGCTCATCCCAACAAGTGCCTTCCTCCATGCCCATCACCCCGCTTCCCCTCCCCCCAACACCCATCAGTCCTCAGTTTGTCCTCAGCATTCAAGAGTCTCTCATGGTTTGCCTCCATCCCTCCCCCCCATATCCCCCCTTCTTCTCTCCCATGGTCCTCTATTAAGTTCCTCCTAATCCTCCTATATGTGCAAACATATGGTAGCTGTCCTTCTCTGCCTGACTTATTTTGCTCAGCATAACACCCTCAAGATCCATCCATGTTGCTAAACACAGGTTTCATTCTTTCTCATTGCCATGTAGTAATTTCTGCTGGTTGTCTAGGAACTTCCCAGTACAGGAAGCAGTGGAGTGGGGAGTGGAAAGGGTGAATGAACACTGGATGGGGTATTTTCTTCTGGAATCTGGGCCCCTAGCCATTCTGTCAATTGCAGACCATACCCTCCAAACATGCCAGCATTGCTGAAATTCCAACAACCTGCTCCTGCCTTCCCCACAGGTGTTGAGAAACTGAGCCACAGTTCCAGCATTTAGAGAGAAGAGGTGTAAAAACAGAAACCACAGGATCTAGATTTTTTCCTACACTAGCCACACCCACCTCACTCCCAGTACCTATTATCAGTCAACCACAGTGTGTCTCAACAGACTCTTGAGATCAGGCTAAATAGGGCCTCCTTTCATCTGGCTTTTATTTTTCACACTGAGCCCTGTGTGGCCTCAAGGATGCTATTGCTCTCCTTTGAGCCTCTGTCTCCATTCAGCTAGCGGCCTTGTGCTGTGGGATTAAGAAGCAGTGTTTAGAGAGGAAGAGAGGCGCCAGATAAATGCCTAGGGCGATTACTTGGCTTTGCCACAATTTAGTGGCTTTCCTTCTGCCTGCTCTACCTGCCCCTCTGCCTCTGGCCCCTCCCTACTAGGCCATCTGTCTTTCAGTTCTAGGAGTCCCTACAATGTGTTACTTCTCTTAAAAATACCAAGGACAAATACGGAACTGATTATCTGGCTGTTACCCAGCCCCTTCACCCATGAATTGGAGGAGTATTGCAGACTTAGTGGAGAAGGAGGGAAAGGGGTGCCTGGTGGCGCAGTAGGTTGAGTGTCTGACTCTTGATTTCGGCTCAAGTCATGATCTCACGGTTTGTGGGATCAAGCCCCACATCAGATTCTGTGCTGACAGTGCGGAGCCTGCTTGGGATTCACTCTCTGCCTCTCTCTCTCTCTCTCTCTGCCTCTCTCCCTTCTCTCTCTCTCTCTCTCTCTCTCCTCTCTCTCAAAATAAATAAATGAACATTTTTTAAAAAGGAGGAAGAGAGAAAACTAAGTCCTGTGAGCTCACTATCCCCACTTTGCCCCTTCTGATGTTTTCAGTTGCAGAAGCCAAGTTACCTTTGCCTGGACAAAGTCTCCTGAGTTTCCTTCTTGTCACTGTTGTCTCCTGTCCTTTCCATTCCCCTCCCCACAAACTAAGATACACAAACCTCCTCACAAGCTTAGCTTATGCACCCAGGGATGAGTGAGAAGGCAAGGTTCAGGCATAACTAAATAAAAACATCTGATACAGGAAACCATTTCCCTGAAACACCATCCTTTTCTGTTTTCCTGTCAGTATTAAGTAATGTCATACATACTCAGAACAGTGTCTCAGATGTAGTAATAATAATAGAGTTTCCATACAGAGCACCTGCTATGTGCCAGGCACTGTGCTATTCCATTCACAGATGTGATCTCACCTTCCCAACCCTGCGAGGTCGATATCATACCACTGTAAGCTGAGAGAAGCACATGCAGAACAGTTAAATAACTTGATCACATAGTTAGATGGGCTTCCAACCCATGTTTCTCTGATTTTAAGAAAAGCTCAACTATATAGATTCTCTATTTCTTCCTTCCCTTCCCTTCCCTTTACCTCCCCATCCCATGTGTTAGGGTCTCAGAAGAAAACGGAGAGCTCACTGGGTAATTGAGGCAAGTTGAATAAAGGAAGTATGTGGGAAAGTGTGGGCAGGGTTTGAACAGAGCAGGGAGCGGATGGTGCAATCCCCTCGGGCTGAGAAAGAACAATGCTGTGTTTGGTGGTGCAAGTACAGGCTATAGGGTGAGCGAGAACAATGCCGCTACCCCAGCTGAAGAGAAGGGAGCAGTTAGCAGAAACGAGAAAGGGCTGTCCAGGAAAAGCTGTGGCCTCGGCAGAGGGATACAACCAGCCTGCAGGGACTGACCAGACGGCCACCACAGGAACACCCTTGCACCCTCACTCTGCTTCTACTCTGTGATCTACCACCAGTGTCTCTTTTCCTCATGCCCAAAGCAAAGCCAAAGGCCAAAAATGCCTGTTGGTGTATTGCAGGTATGTCAGTCTTGTGAAGCACATAAATCTGGAGGGTCAAATCCAGCATGCCATAGACTGTCTGCTACTTTCAACTGGAGTGGTCTTGCCAGGACTTTTCAAGGCTAAATTGGGAGGGACACAACTGTATGGATGTTAGCTACTTTCAGGCATAGAGGATTGGCAGGACTACAGAATGGAGACTTGAGGACATGAGACTCTGGGCTCTTCATATGTTTCTGGGTCACTGATGCTATCAGCCTCTGAGGGAAATGAGCAGAGGTTGGGAGATTTCAAGCACAGGTGAGTCATGCACAGTTTGCCTCCTCCCATCCCGGGAGCTCTTACGTTGCCCTTCAGCCACCTGTGGGTTCAGCCATCAGTGCCTTCTTTCCTTCCCATGACCATTGCCTTTCCTTTTCCCAAGACCTACTCACCAGGACAGGAACGATATCATATCAAGAGCTGGAATAGAGCTAGAGAACAGCTCCTTAGAGAGAACATCAGGATCAGAAAAAGGACCAATCAGACCATCTCCAAAAGCTATGAATCCCCAGCAAGGAGTCAGAGAGGGCTATAAGGGAGCAGATGAAGGTGACTTTAAATGAGCTTGCAGCGAGGAAGGGTGGAGTGAGAAGGAGCATGAGAGCCATGGGGCAGGGGTGAGAGCTAAGGTAGCTGGGCCCTGGAGATTGGAAGCCAAATTCAGGGGTAAATCTTGATCTGCTTCACTCAGCCTTGACAGATAGTTTGTAACTGAAAAAAAAACAATTAGAATCATGAGAGTTTAAAAAAACAAAAACAACAGGGGCGCCTGGGTGGCTCAGTCGGTTAAGTGCCCGACTTCCACTCAGGTCATGTTCTCACGGTTCGTAGGTTTGAGCCTAATGTCAGGCTCTGTGCTGACAGCTCAGAGCCTGGAGCCTGCTTCAGATTCTGTGTCTCCCTCTCTTTCTGACCCTCCCCTGCTCACGCTGTCTCTCTCTCTCTCTCAGAAATAAATAAAAACATTAAAAAAAAACAAAACAGAGGAAAGATGTAGGTTGGGAGAAAAGATAGAGAAGAAGCTAGTTGGAATAGTCACAAAAGACTTTATGTAGAACTTTTTTCTGGTCTCCTGAACTCCTGTGCCCTTTCCCCATCCCTCTTTCTCCACCCCTACACATGTATTTTTAATATATTTAAACAGAAAGGGAAAAAAAGCTGGAAGAATGAGACCTCCAACCACCTTCCCACCTAGAACCAGCTTTCCACTTTTCGCACCAATAAAGGGTTCCCTGAAGTAACCCTTGGGAGCTCCCGCACCTTTCATTTGCAAACAGGCCAAGGCTTGGGTTTTTACAGTTGTAAGCTGACAGTCTGCGAAGAAAGGGAGAGGAGACGGGGCACAGCATCAGAGAGAAGGGAGGTTAGTGAATATTCTGGAGCAGGATGGGAGGTCAGCCAAAGACCAGCACCTGTGAACAAGATGCCCTAGGAACAAAACCAGAGAGCTCCAGGCTAACTCCTGTGAGACAGTCCGTGCCACTCCACTCCTGCCCTGAAGGATGGTTTGCCAGCATCTTGCCTCCCTCACAGGAGACAGTGCCCCTAGGAAATGGTCCCTGGCTCCCAGCTTCAGAGTACAAAGAATGATGGCCAGAATCAAAGTGGGTTGGTTTGTGTGAATGTGAGTGTGCCAACTGGCCAGGCACCCTCATGTTCCCCAACCCCGTACCTGAGGGAGGAGCCTGTGGCCACTGGCAAAGGTGAAGCAAAAGGGGTGTGTAGACAGGTGGTACACCCCCAGGCCCCACTCTGCGGGGAGGCTTAAAGAGGCCAGTTGTTGACTATTTCCTTTTTATTTCAATTTTATTCAGAATTACGATCTTTAGATGCATTGAATGTCAAATATCAGATGCATTCTACTTTTACTATTTATTTAGCCAATGTGGGGGAAATTCCAATGTTGGCAAGGAGAAAGGGTGCAAACAACTTGATTGCTCTGGGCACCATTTACCCTGACCACACCCCTGGCCATTTAGTACCAAATGAGAGAACAGATTCTCACTTTCCATTTAGTACCAAAATCTCTAGGAAGGTGGCAACTCCCACTCTGGCATCTCCCTTAAGACTGTAAAGGAGTGCTCTCTAAAGTTTCACATCTGTCCCTACTGCTACAGGGTCACTGTTTTGTGTGTACCTTCAGAGACTCACTCTTTAAAGTCTCTTCATAAATTCCAGACTCTCCAAGCTGACCCACAAGGCTCTCATCACCGTAGTCTTCTAATTTTATTCTCTTTCCCAGGAAGCCCTCTCTTAGCTATGTTGGGCTTCTGTCCCCCAAATCAGGGAAACACATCCCTTGAGAATGAGAGGAAGAGAGAAACAGGAGTCTCTGCCTGA